CAAATGGTCCGTATACATCGCTTTAGAGCGATTTAAACCTTTCCACTCTGCCGTTGCCCCATATTATGACATCGTATCTGAGTACAGATTCAACATACGCAAAATAACCTGTCAAAGCCGTGCATTTATTTGCCACTTTTGATTATGAATCGTAGTAGTGTGTGCCTACTTTAAATAATCTACTTCTACTACTAACAGCCACCATACAAAAAGTACTTAAATCTACAATTTAGAGAACTATACGGTTTTGCGACTCAAGGCCGGTAGTCTGATATTACTTTAATACATTTTTTATTTAACACAAGATTTAAAAAAAAAACTAGTCCTGCATTTCTCTGTAACCATGGCGGCAATACAATTTAATGTGTCGTCCGGCGCACGCGCTGCCGCGTTACCATTTTATGCAAAAACGCAAATTTCGTTCGAAATTTGAAACGCTCCATTGTGTTGCAAGCTCGGATGAATAAAAATAATCGTTGGCAACTTTATTTTTGGGGGAAAAATGCATTTTGCGCAGGTCTAGCCATTATAATACGCAGGAGTGTGCCGAATGGAATTAAGGACAGTTTTTATGCAAGCGACATTTGAATTAATAAGCGTTTTTGCATGGTCAAACGATGTATTGATTATTTTAAGTCCGTACGAGTTTGGGAAACTAGGGCAGTTTTGTATGAGTTTGATTTTTGATTAGATTTTTCGATCGGGATCACTTTAGATACGAGTATACTTCTTACAATTCCAAGAAGATATAGGTAATTTTTATGCCGAATTAAATCGATATTACAAAACAGGCACTTCTATTTATCATTTTCAAGCGTCGTTTATACGAGTAGTACCTACCTTTCCTAAATTTAACTATAATAATGAAAGTGCTTTTTTAATTTTCATCAACAGTTGTTACATCGATTACAACATCACAAAGATCACCCTGAGATATGTAATTTCACCAGCGCCTCTTCAAAACCGAAACGCAGTAACGCTCACATACATTTCGGTGTAAAGAAGAAGTAAAAATAACGCTTTTCAAAGCTTACTGTCAAAGTTTCTACACCGGGAATGGGTAAACTACGTCAAGCGGCCGCTGAAGACCCTGGTGTGTAATATAATAATATTATTAGGATGATGTTGCGACTGCCTCGTTTCTGCAGTTCGGATGGTTTTGCAGTCGTCCTCCGGAAAAAGACAGCATCCCTGTTGCGTAGAGTGCGGGATAGCTCCCAGCATCCTACAAACCGTAGCGTGTAGGATTACTTCTCCCATGTGGCAATGCTTCGTGAGGAAGGCCATATGATTTATGATAAAATATCTACTAACACTAATTTATAAGCTTTTTTACTGTTATTATTATTACTAACAGATTATGTAAGTTCTTTGAAATAAAATAATTTGCTCTACTGCACTTCGTTTGTCAGTTTGTTTATGGAATTCCGGTGTCAAGCACGGTTTACGGTTAGGAAGTATTGAAAAGAAAATGCAAAATTTTTGAAATTACGCATGATTCTGACACATCAGCTGCCGGAAGAGGTGAGATAGTGAGGATGGGTGAGCTGTACCGCTACTGCCTCCCCTTATCATAACTAACATAATCGGCACAGTGAAATGGAGTTATTAACAAATCGTGAATAATCAAAACTGGCTCTACGACCACCTCTAATCGGTTTTTAATGCCTTGTTTAGTTTCAATTTTATTGTAAAATTGTGTTAGGCTTATACCCAGCAGTGGGTGAAGTCGGGCTGTGAATGATGATGATGAATGGGTACCAATATCTCGAAAGTAGTTATGTTAGGTAGTTACTTATGACACGGAGGGCTGTGCAGGTGTAAATGAAGAACTGTCTTACTGCTTCAAATCCAGTATATTATCTGACCATAATAATTTTACATTCTTTTACATAATATTATAATACATAAATGTTACTGTACCTACATTGGACTTTGTCTGAACAAATCAAACCTCTTTTAACTTTCCGTTTTTGCGTTTAGTTAAGTCTTATTCTAACGCAGTCTATACTTTCGCGTTAAGATAGGGAAAATAGAAAAATAAATTATCAAAATCAAAGAGTTAATCTTCAAATGTCGTCGTAATACATGTAATCGAAGAGTAACGTCGCCGCCATCAACAGAGCCTTCTCGTCTGACTTTAGGTTCTTGTCGAACGCCAGGCCGCAGCTGGAAAGTTAAAAAAATACATTACCTCGTGTATGAAGCAATCAGAAAAAAATGGCGATATACTTAAGTGGTAACATTTTTTATACAATGACTTTTTTTACGTTACATTACATTTAGGTTTGTTGATCCTTGTTTATCTTTTTAACCGACTTCAAAAAAGGAGGAGGTTCTCAATTAGACTAGTTCTTTTGTGTATAAGTTGTGTATAAGTAAAGCAATTTTATGAACCGATTTCGATGGTACTATGTTGGAAAAGAGGTACCTCTGTGGTACTACCCTTAAAAATTTGAAAAAATATACGACCTCATATGATGATGAATCTGAATATTGGATTTCACCCACTTTCCACCGATTCCAACACAACTTGGCAAATAGATGTAATTTCACAAACATTTGAGTTCGGCTTTTTGTTTTTTATAAAAAAATTATTTAAGGGTTGACTTTACAACTCAATTAATAAATAACGATTGTAGTGTTTGTGGATTGTCTATGATTCGTCTCGAGCGCACATGTCAAACGATGCAGCTGTAGAGGAGGTTGACTGGGTACGACCATCTCAGCCCGGACACACGTGGTGGTGCGTAGGCGAACCAAAATACGACTACGCTATTACTTATAGGAGCTGGTACTACTACACTACAATGATAACGGATTCTTAGGTTTTCGCGTTTGTTACATAGTGTTTTGCCCAAAAGAAAGTCCACTTGTAATCGTTATATTGATTAAACCGTTATACCGTCCGTTCGTAAGGCAGATCCCGATGCGAAGAATGAGCAAGAATCTTTATTACCCGCCTCACCGTGACGCCGCGATGGCAATTTTGCCAGCTACGTAGCCAAAAATTTATATTGAAATGTATGGCGGCTACCTCACTTGGGTACCGATTGGCGACGTCGCCAATTTGAAAGCGTTGCCAGTACCGATGCTCCGCTGTGGAGTGTGGTAACTCTGGCGACTTTGGCGCGCTGGCGACGTAGCCAACAAAATGGCGCCTAAACCGAATTTCAGTCGAACACAAACTATGCGACTCAAGAAACGCGACTCACAACATTACGTAGGTTAAAAATATAAAATATTTTCACAAAAATTGTTCCTTACTAGGTTTTGCTCTGGAGCTGCCGAATGCGCGTTCACCATTGGACATTATCGGAAACGAATACAAAGTTCTATTTCACAAACTTACTGGTCTCTAATAGGGGCAAAGATGATAGCATGAATAATTCCTTGCCAGGGTTTATAGGACACCCCCACATGGTCGCCATCAGGACGCAAGATGTGGAATTGCAGGTTATGGAAGCATGTAACCGTCACGCATGGACCTGCGGTGGAAGATAACATAAATAATGTGCCAGAGAACTATACCCGCTACCTATACCTCTACTATAAGATTACTATGACGGTTGTCGCTTGTGACCTCATAAATTACTTCACAATTTTCTAAAGCAAATTATACAGCGCGTCTAGCGGCCACAAGAAGAAACAACATTTTGTATGCAAACATTTATTTATTTCATCGTGAGTACATTTTACACGGTTGCTAGCGTTAAATGTCACTGCAATCTCATGATAGAGGCTGGTCTCAAATGAGGTAATTCTCTATACCAGGGACTCACAACCCCTAGACTAGAAACAATTACCTTAATTGACGGTAGATCAACGGTTCAGATCAGGGTTGTTGCGTATTGCATCCGCATCCGAGGATAATCTGCATAAATTAAAATATCTGTATCCGCATTAATCGATGCTGATATTAATTGCGGATGTTCAGGTCGTGACATGACCTAAAAGACACGCTGAAATAATTTACAAACCTTCCGGAATCAGACTGTAAGCCGAAAAAGCAGTTCAGCTGTTGTTTTTAAATATAACTTTGTTAAAATTCCACAACGATTAAGCCAGAGGTTGATTGTTTTTATGCAGGTTGATTTTTTTGTTAATAAATGTCACAAAATTATTAAAACAACATTTTATTACAATACCAAAGAAAAATTAGAAAACTTTTTCATCTAGATAGATTCATTGAGAATGACCTTTTTTCGCGTTTTTTTAAATACACAAAATCAGCTTCCGCTGATGCGTAAAAAACCTACTTCAGCAACAATCCTGTTCAGACAGTGCCACGGAGTGAACTCCATTGCTCTGGTAGTCACAGTACCTACGGGGAATTCCTTAATTTCAGATCAGATAATTGGTATGGTTGTCAAAAAACAAGAAATAACGAATGTTTTTAAAACGTTCCTTTTCCGAATTGATTCTTTTACCTACAGCGCATCTTAAAATGTTTAACAACTGTGTAATCTGTTTGTACCTTTTTATACCTTTGTGTATGTACCTTTTTCTTTTTCATCGTAAATGCGTGGTTCTCTTTTGACGAGTCTCTCTTCTTCAATTCGGAACGTAAAGACAGACAAAGAATTGAAATAGAACTGTGGTACCGTCCCAAGCCTGTTCTGCACATACAGAGAACTTTCCCACGAACAAAACAAAGCTACGAGTATGTATATGTTTACAAATAAATTATACTGATGGGTCACCTTTGATGAAGAACAAGACTTCTCCTTCTATGTTTTTAACAGCATAAAGGGGACTGGAAGGCGTCCATTGCTGCTGCACGTGGCCGATCAGTCGCTCAGGTGGAGAGTAAACCTGGAAACCACCTCTAAATTTACTTACTCCGCTGGCTCAGCGCGCCGAAGTAGATCTGGCTTCCGATAAGAGTTGGCGTCAGCGCACACCATCTTGTGCGATCTCCTCCCAGTTATCTGCGTACAGGGCGCAGAAGTATTTCTCCATTTCGACCCTCCATTAGTATTTAGGCCGACCGACCAGTCGTCGACCACTAGAACGTTCCATGTAGGCCTTATCCTTTCAAGATGTCCGAGCCAACGGAGTCTTAAATGTAACTAACCTAAATTCGTAATAATTTATAGTGAAAGAAAAAATTCAAACCGTTTTCTAGGCATGTTTGTTACTATCTTTCAAAATCAAATAATCGTTATTTCATAGGTAAGCAAATTCCGTTTAAAGTCGTCATATTGATTAAATTCTACTAATTTGTAAGGCAGATAAGCCCCTGAAAGAATAAGCAAGAAACTCAAGTGCTACAAATTCGCAACGGTGTGGTGTGTTCAGCGTTCAACGTTTGAGGGCATTGTGTCTTATTTTGGTTTTTATCCAACGCCTCGCTGAACGCACCATAGTTCCGAGTTTAATAATAATAATAACACATTTATTAAAAACCACATTTGCGGTCTAAGGGTTGCCCTTTGTTAATAAACGTGGGATGTCCCCAACACGCTTTGGGCCAGTGTGCCGGACTAATGGCCTTAACCCTCACCTGAGAGGAGACCCGTTCCCAGCAGTGGGATGGATTAATGATGATGACACATTTGTCATTTACAATATTTACTTCAAACATCATAAATCGAGAAAACCTGCAAGAACTAAACGGATCACTATCACGGATTTTAGTCATCCAAGTACCCAGAAGCAGTATAAATAACCTTTAGTGAAAAGTGTTTGTTTTGCTATAGTTTTAAGCCTCGTAAATGGCAAATTTTCAATATCAACCGGAATCTTATTATAGAATCGTATACAATAATGCCCCTCAAATGAATTTGAGAGACATTATTATTGTAATTAAAAACACCCATTTTATTTATATTCCTCGTGTTAAATGTTTATCACTATTTTCCATTAAAAAAATACGGTTTCTATTTACCATAAATTCAATTTTCATAAACGTGCAATGACGCTAGTGTAAAAATGTCAATTTCTTTACACTTCTCAAAGACACTACTCCTGGGTCCAAATTGTAATTTGCCCTAACGTTTTGCAGGACAAAATTCTATTAATATCGGTGGTGTTCACCGATATCTAAGCAGTAGATTAAAGTCTTTGGCGGCAATATTGGGCTGCCAAATTAATGTATAACGTAATAATGTACCTACAAACCAGATGGATGAAGTAGAAACTGCAATTAAAGATAACGGTTTCCACTTCTGAAAGTTTCCGTATTTCTTTATTACATTATAACCCGCAGAATTGAAATTGAGACCTTATATGGTTGTACTAAGGTACATTATGACCTTTGAAGACGAGTAAGCTTAAGTTTACAATTTTGTCTGAATGCCATACCTAGATGAAATCAAACAGCGCAGTCACTGAACATTTGCGTATACAATTTTAACACGTTATTTTCAAGTTCTCTTTTACTTTCAGTCTAATTTTGTCGTGTTCTGAAATATTTACCGTCAAATATTGAAGTTGGCAAGGGAAAATCCGCGTAGTAAATTTGTATGGCCGTGTTATTCGAATCACTTCAGTGCCATAGGTGTTCAATACCCTTAGACGCAACGGCCGCAGCCCCAAGCAGAAGTATCCAAACCATCGACTGAAAAACATAATAATGGTAAAACGAAGTTCTTACGGACGGTCTCTACTAGGGTTGTTGCGAATATCACCATCTACATTCGCGGATAATTTGCATAAATTAAAATATCCAAGTCTGCATTAACATCGGCATTCACCGATGCTGATATTAATTGCAGATGTTCAAGTTGTATAATAATTCACAAACCTTCCAGAAACAGACTGTAAGCCAAAAAACCAGCAGCTCAGCTGTTGTTTTTAAAATATAACTTTGACAAAATTCCAAAACGATTAAGCTAGGCAGATTAATTATTTTCATGCAAATTGATTCTTTTGTTAATATATGTCACAAAATCATTGAAATAATATTTTATTATAATAACAAAGAATAGAAAGCTTTTTTATGTATATCCCTATTCAATACACAGGAGTACCTACTTTTTCGCGATACATAAAATCAGCTAAAAAATCAGGATCTGCTGGTGTGTAAAAACCCCGCATCAGCAACAACCCTTGTCTGTACCAATTGCGCTGAAGATTTTAAAATGTTCTTAAGTAATTAAGTTTGTAATAATGTAATTTTCATATTTGTTCACACTGCCTACCTACTTTAAAATGTTACAAAAAATATCCTCATCACCAGGTCATACTGCATGATAGAATCACTCTTAATAAATTAGCAGATACAGCTTCAGCACTAAGAAAAATCTATTATAATGTATTAGAAATAAGTTTTAAAATTTAATTATTAATACAAAGGTCGAACACGAAGAAAAAATTCCTTCGATCCGGCCGGATTCGAACCGAGACGTCTTCTAGCAAACCGTGTCAGACGCTATGCCAACTAAGCCACGGAACTAATCAGCGGACCTCACGAATTTTTCCATGTGCTTATTTGTCGGGTCTTTGTATTTAGTTTTCAACGACTTTGCAGCCGTAGCGCCATCTACGAGTAATCTATAAAAGTATTTAACCTAGTTAACTTTACACCTACCAGGAGTAATTAAAAAAATCAATTCAATACAAATTTAATGAGTAAGACTTGTTATTAAACTTAGTTAACCACTACTATCTGATTAAAACTAAGCTACTGCTTTAAATCCAGACGTATTAAGTCCTGGGCCTTAAGAAGCATCCATCGATGTTTCTCCACGATACTTACAATAATTTTGATTACTAAATTTACTTTAAAGCACTTTTACCATCATTAACAACAACAATTACGAAAGTTTGTATTGTAAAGAATGATGAAATTCCAGGAGAACTAAATCCCGCATCCAAGAGCAGTCAAATCAGGCAAAGAAAAATATGTATTAAAATCCTACTTGCTTTCTTCGCGAACAGTGAATAGCTGTGTCTGGTCAGGCGTTTTGATGTAAAACATATTTCTTTGCCCACTGAGACAGAAAAAGCTTTTGATCTGCATCCTCCTTGTGATTAAAAGCCGGTCCACAGACGACAACTCCTCGAGGATTGTCGACTTGGACCCTGGTATGTATTCAGGCTGTAAAATATCTATATTTTAATGCAATCGTGACAAATCCGAAAATATGTTTGCCCGAAATAACATATGCTCGAATTTTCATAAACCTAACGTAACAGTTATTCTACAAAGAAGAGATTATGTTGTGTTTGTTTAATAATATTCGTTAAAAAAAGTATTCCTCGGATTTTCGGGATTATGAAAATTCGAGCAAATGATACGATTTCGGACTAATTGAATGTATATTTTAAAGACCGAGTGCGCTCCCCACCCGGGCGTGGCTGCACTATACAATCTTTTGTTATGGTTACACTGTTAATTATAGCGCAGCTTCACTCAACTGCCTTTCACTGACTCCGTGGCCGAACAGTTATCATGCTGGACTGCCACGCAGAGGTCCCGCGTTCGATTTCCGCGCCGGGAGAAATATTTTTATGGCCTACATTTATTTATCTCGTGAGTTTGGGTGTAATTTGTGGTTGTCTATGTGTGTGTCCATAGTATCCACGATACAGAGTTTCTGCATATAGTTCAACTTAAAATTCTTTTTGAAATTAGTTCCAGTGACACTATTGAGACTCAACTTCTATTGCAACTAGATTTTAGCAAAATAACAAATATTTACATAATTGCAATATAATTTTACTGGAGTCTCAATTACAATGATCGATGGTTTCAAGAATTGGGGTCCAGGAGTGTAGTGCGAGCAATAGGGTGTATATGTCAGAGGTAGTCAACCACATTTATCGATACGAAGCGTCGCCTTCGTGCCCTAGGTCTTATTCGTTTTTATTTATTATCATCATCATCATATTAGCCAGAAGACGTGGGAACATAGGCCTCCCCCAAAGATTTCCAGACTAGTCGATCGGACGCGGCGTGCGTCTCTCGGTTAATGCCGCCCTTACCAGGTCATCCGTCAATCTAGTAGGGGGCCGTCCCATTGAACGCCTTCCGGTTCGTGGTCTCCATTCGAGATCCTTTCTGCCCCAACAGCCGTCAGTTCTAGGAGCCATGTGCCCAGTCCACTGTCACTTCAACTTGCTAATCCTTCGAGCTATGTCGGTGATTTTCGTTCTTCTACGGATCTCCTCATTTCTGATTCGATCACGTAGAGAAATGCCGAGAGTTGGTCGCTCCATAGCTCGTTGACTGACTTTGAGCTTTTTTAGTAAGTGACCACGTCTCAGAGCCGTAGGTCATCGCTGGCAACACGGACTGTTCGAAGATATTTGTCTTCAAGTCAAAGTCAAAGTCAAAGATTATTTATTCCATGGGTAAAATAAATTTACACTTGAAAACGTCACATTTAAGCTACTGCTCGTTCACTACGCTGACCTCCCTGAGAAGAACGAGCAAGAAACTCTAGGGATTGCTCTTTTAAAAAAATAAACTTAAATGCTATGGAATACACTTTGAATCAAATTTGTGTGGATTCTGGAGCCATGTCGTCTTTACATACATCTTTATCTAACACGTAGTCTTCAATTTTGTAATATGATTTTTTGATCAAAATATTTTTAATGTAGTTTTTAAACTTATTAAATGATAAACTTAATATATGCTCCGGAATCTTATTGTAAAAACGTATACAGTTCCCCATAAAAGAGTTGTTTACCTTGGTTAAACGAAATCGTGGTACCATGAGTTTGGACTTAGCTCTAAGGTTAATATTATGGATATCTTCTTTCTTATTGAAATTATGTATATTTTTACGGGCATATAAAATATTTGAGTAAATGTACTGTGATGCCACAGTCATGATACCAGTCTCCTTAAACTTTTCTCTGAGAGAAACCCGAGAGCCTAGACGGTACACAGAACGAATCGCTCGTTTTTGCAATACAAATATGGTTTGTATATCTGCCGCTTTACCCCACATGAGAATCACGTAGGACATTATACTATGGAAGTAACTAAAGTAAACAAGGACGAGAAGACATCCCGGAGCTTCCCGAAAGCTGCCCTTATTGCATAGAAGTAAAGTTTATTCTATCCGGCTCAAGTGAAGTCTGCGTTAAGAGTATATACAATCTCAAATGGCTTTTGTTGATTCCGCATGACAGTGAAAGTGTAAAATAAATGGTAAAATTGAGGTCATACACTGATTACTTTATGGTATGAAAACACGATTCCTAATAATTTTCACGATAGAAAAAAAAACACAAACTTACCTCGAAATTTTACATATACCAATCTTTTTTTTATGTCAACTGAACTAGATAGAACACGTGTATTATATAGTATACGATATACGTTTTTCAAATGCTAAAAAACATTCTGCAATAAAGGCAGTGTCCCGGACGCTCGACCCGAGCCAAATTAAACGTATTAGTATGAGAAAAATTTTAATTCTACTTGAGGCAGTATCAATTCTTAATATTATTGTAGTGTAACTAACGGAACGGGTAATGATACTGGAGTCATTTCCCGCACGGCTTACCTCTATCTGTATTTTAACTTCATCCAATTTTTTCTTGGTTCGAATTTGAAGCGAGTCCTCGGAACTCTATGGAAAATGTAATTAAAATTTTCATTGTTACAGATATAATATATTTCTTAGAGTAAAAAAAATTTACATTTGAAAACGTCACATTTAAGATACTGCTCGTTAACTACGCTGACTTCCCTGAGAAGAACGAGCTAGAAACTCTAGGGATTGCCGTTTTAAAATAAACTTAAATGCTATGGAATACACTTTGAATTAAATTTGTATGGAATCTAGAGCCATGTCGTCTTTCCATATATCTGTATCTAACACGTTAGTCTTAAATTTTGTAATATGAATTTTCAATTAAAATATTTTTGATGTAGGTTTTTTTAGGAAATGATAATATTAATACATGCTCCGGAATCTTATTATAAAAACAAATACAGTTCCCCATAAAAGAGTCGTTTATCTTGGTTAAAAGAAATCGTGGTTCCATAAGTTTGGACTCTAAGGTCAATATTATGGATATTTTCTTTCTTAATGGAATTATGTATATTTTTACGGGCATACAAAACAATTGGACTAAATGTACTGTGATGCCACAGTCATGATACCAGTCTCCTTAAACTTTTATCTGAGAGAAACCCGAGAACTTAAACGGTGCACAGAACGAATCGCTCGCTTTTGCAATACATGATTAAATTAGTCCGTCATGTTCTTGGCTGTTTATAATCCTTAGAAATTAACAGTTAACAGCACAATTCCCGTAGAGTCAGTTCAGTAGAGTCCAGGTAGAAATTCCAAAGGTACTTACTAAAAGAATCAACATTTAAGTCTTAGGAATATTCCTCACAGTTTCCTGAAGCTAAGGGGGTCGTAGAAGACTTAGGGGGAATATTGGACACCTATTGGGCGTTTTAAAGTTATCAAAAACTAACCACTGTTTCCTCCGGCTCCACAAGCGGTGTTTTGAGACCTGAAACATCTATAATATTTCCTGTATAGTGTACACCTGGAACATCTGGTGGAATAGGAGTTGCCATTATACGCGAATGTTATGGTATAATATCCCATTGGTTTCAAATAGCCGCCTCTAAAAACTCCTTGTTTCGTGGTGTTCCAATAAGTACTATTAATTTACAATTAATACAAGCAAAAATGTAATTTATAGAGTCCAAAATAATAGCAATTTCATTTATCGTCTCACATCCTTAATTTGATAGCAGTTCCTATCAAAAACAGCCGTCAATACTTAACTTTTTTAATGAATGCATAAGAAAATAGGATGTCTGAAATGTAATTCAATCTCTTTGTAAAGAAAAACGTTTTATGGATTTCAAACATACTGCAAAATATACAAATATAATCTTCGTTAACGACGAATCCATAATTTATCGTCGCCCATGCAGATGCATTTGATTGCAGAATAATAATTCTAAACAATAATCATAATGCGTTGATATAAAAATCAAAGCAATGAAAAATGCAAAACAAAAAAAAGTAACGCACACGATTATGAATTTAATTCCTATTCAGTAAAAGTTACAGTTTAACTGCAAAAATTAATGTTTCGGACATTAAGTATTGAAATAAGGGGAGACGTTTGTTATACTTTTAAATGTGTTTTTGGGACAAAAATGTCGATTTTTCCCCTAAAAATTAATGTCCTGCGTTCCACCCCTATTTACATTATGTTTAAAGTTTTTTTTAGTTGGCAGATGGCCGCGGCGTAAATGGCGCGAAATTTTGACAGAACGTATTATTTTTGGCGCGCAAATGTCACTTTGGAATTTGGAAAAAAAAATGTTAATATCGGGTATTTTATCGAACCCTTTTCCAAAGGATTGAATTCAATTATACGTAAAAAAGTTAATAAAGGGGTTCCTTTTTTATTTTTTCCTCGTTTTAGGAAATAACAGGGGTTTAAATGTAAGTAGGTCAGTAGTGCGCTGTGAATTTTAGTTTTTATCTTTTTTTTAATGGCGCGCGCATGTCGCGTGTTCCGTATTTTTGGAAAAAGCAAGGGTTTAAACAACAATAGGCTTTATAAAATGATTTAGAGTCTTTTTTAGAAAGTAACGGATTTATTTTTTTAGTAAATTTACAAAAAAAAAATCAACTTTTTGTTAGATAAAATAATGAGAAAGGTTACGTGTCAAGATCGCAAAATCACAAGGTGATTGATTGCGTATTGTTGTAATTTAAAAAAAATAATGTAAAAGAGTAAATTACAATGTAACTTTTTTACGTGCCGAAAAAGTTGTCCTTATGATATCTCTAGCAATTTACCGAATTTCGGTTGTCCATATCACTGACCGGATTAAAATTAAAACTATACATTTCGAATCCAAATTCAATGACAAAAAAATATCCATGTCATAAAAATTCCATAAACTCTGCAATAATTTTTGTTAAAAAAAATGCTATTACACATTGGAAGAATATTTAAATGATTGAACCTTAGAATAATAACGCATAGAAACCTAGTCCGCACACGCTAAATGAGGCAAATTGAAGCGCGCCAAAAGGGCCTACACGAGCGGGCGGATCAAGAATTTTAGCTAAAAATGACGAAATTTGCGGTAAATGAGTGTAAAAATACGTCAGACAAACATAAAATAGATACTAACATCACATTCCACAAGGAAGTAACGCGTATCAACTTGTATTTTTATATAAATATTCACTAAAACCGAAAATTGACCTACTACTAAAACTAGCCTACATGAATTTGATTTTTGCCTCACTTGTGACAGTTCGTTTGATATGAAACTATCATTCTATGCGTTATTATTCTAAAGATTGAACACTCTTTCAACACTCAATTAATGGATTAATAATTAAATATATATATTTTTTAATCTACGGTGTATGTCTGTCTTAGGGTCATATTCCAAAACTCTACTCATTGCTCAAGTCAGGATTTGAGTATGATTCAAAGCACTAGAAATCATACTCAAGTCCTTGCCATTAGGGTCGTATTTCCAGTAGTTGACATCATACTCAAGTCTGCTCAAATCCTAACTTGAGCATTGAGTAGAGTTCTGGAATACGACACTAAGTCAATTATACTCAGCCTGCCAGGCCTTTACGTGCGGCCTGGAACATTATTATTAACGAGGTGCTTTTAAAACTACGGGTTACTAAGTTTTAAAATTTTAACCCCCACACTTCCCGGCTCACACGCTTGCCTCCTAGATAGATAGATAGATAGATAGATTACACGTTTATTTGCTGAATCACAGTACATTACAAACAAGCTTGTGACATAGGTACAATGGTAATCATTAAGAAAACTAGTTTAGGTTTGCGGGTATGGTCTGGAGTGTTATAATGTATCAGGTGTAGAGGTGAATGTACTGTGTCAGCAAAAAGTGCTCGACTCAGTATTATGCCGCAGTTCAGTCGAACGACGACGCTGTTGATTCTGCCAGATCCTAAGGTGAGCCGGTAAAAAAGAAGTAACTCAGAATAGAGAATCAACACGGAGTTAGAAATTTAGAATGCAAGGTATGTAGTTATAATATTAATTATTTAGTGAATTAGTTATTATATCAGCTATAAAACGTGGACAAGGTAACTGGAAAGAAAATAAAAAAAAGATGTAAACTTGTAAGTTGTGTGATTGTATAATAATTGTAAATGAATGGGCGTTTTGCTTAAAGGTGTGTGTTTGTGTGAAGGTATGTAAAAAATAAGTGGAATGTATGTGTGGTTTATATATAACTATGAAACTGTATTTATGGCAGGGAAAATATTTTGTAGGCAGGTAGTGTAAAAGAGATTAAGGATAATTTGTGAACTTGATACGGGGGTTTACTCCCGTTCTCTGTTCGACATACTCGACCAATTTAAAAGACGAGAAAATGCGAATAAAGCTTCATACTCGACATTTTCTTTGCTTCGGTCGAGTATTACTTATTTGTTTGAGAGTAGACTCCTTGGCCACTCTCTGATATGACGAATGTTTTTAGTTTTTTATATCAATATATCGCACTGCTATTACAATAGTGTTACAACTCAAAAAGTGAACTTTCTCAGAATCGATGAAAAACTAATTACTCACTTTCTGCAAAAAATCATTAAAATTTATGTATATGTTATAGTTTATTATAGACACAAACCGTTTCTCAAATATATTTAAAAATAAAATGGAAATAATAATTTCATATTTTTGAATATGGATTATTTTGGCCAGAACTAGCGCACATAAAGTGAGTCTCATTTTGAGTTAAGTAGATGTTGATTTTGATTGTTTCTTACAATATTCTAACGACAGTTTTTTCTGACGTGTAGAGAATCAAATTTTACGTTCAATAAAAATACCATTAATAAAATTTTACGTTCAATAAATAAAATCGTTGTTAGAATGTTGTAAGAAGTAATTAAAAGATATCTACTGAACTCCTAAGGACAATAGTCAAGTATAATACAATAATAAATAATAAAGTCACACTTTATGCGATCTAGTTCTGGCCTAAAATAATCCATGTTCAAAAATACGAAATAATTTTTTCCATTTTATTTTTAAATATATTTTTGGCAAGTTTTAATGATGTTTCACGGGAAGTGAGTAATTAGTTCTTCATCGTTTCCGAGAAAATACACTTTTTGATTTAATACACTATTGCTTTAACAGTTCGATATTTAGGTTTTGTAAAAAAAGATCAGCAAAAATTTTGCTGACCGCGTAACGTAGCAAATATGTGTTTTTTTTGTGGTATCGTGTAATACTGAGTAACGGGACGGACCAGTCGTGTACCTGGTGTTAAGCAACAACGCCTGTCCATAGCAGTTGCAGTGCCCGTTAGAGCTTTAAATTGCAACGATCTGATGGTCACGGCGACTGCGCCTGTTACACTGAGACATGCGTACTTACTTGGATTACAAAAATCCGTGGTAGTGGTCCGTTAAGCTCTTGCAGTTATTTTCAAAGTAACAGTGGCGGGGCGTGAAAATTGTCTATAATAATAATAATAATAATAATAATAATAATAATAATATATAAGGATCTTATTACACACCCACCACATACTCGTAGATACACGCCATACTGCATTTACTTGGCTTAGGTCCGTAAATGTGGTTCAAACCAGCTAACAAGCTGAGAAGAATAAAGTAAATAATGGTAATCACGCACACACTCAACATAGCCCCGCACTAGGGAAACCCTGTGTCGCGGGTGCCATGGACACACACATAGACAACCACAAGTTACACCCAAACTCACGAAAGAAATAAATGTAGGCCATACAAATATTTTCGGCCCGGGAATCGAATCCTGAGACCTCTGCGTGGCAGAACGGCGTGGTAACCGTTCGGCCATAGAGGCAGTTATAAAAACGGAAATAAAACCGGAGTAAGTTGTAGGCAGGCAGGGTGGAGGCGGATAGTGCAGTGAGGATTCCATCGCTGCACTAGGTTCCTTCGCGTTTGGATACCACTTTCCACTTAACATCAGGTGGAGTGGAGTCATTTGCCTGTCAGGTATAAAAAAAAAGAAAAAAAAAAACACTTGCCCTATACAGGTAAAATTGAGCACAAAGTGTAGTAAATTACTTTGAAATATTTATAATATGTGGTGATACGTGGAAAATTTTAGGTAAGTCGGTGGGAATCAAGTTATAAGGACGCCTCGCCACTGCAGTGTAAGATATTTGAAATGTATATTTACAAAGAGCAACCCCTACTTTCTCGCTCATTTTTCTATGGAATCTATATATAGGGGAATCTGCCTT